GCGGACTACCCCCCGGACCCCAGGTCGAAGCAGTACCTGCACCGGCAGCCCGCGGAGGTGGCCCGGAGGGTCCTGCGCGACTGGCACCCCTCCGACCCCGGGATGACCCGGCACGACAACTTCGCCAAGTACTACACGGGCCTAATCAACCAGAAGCGGGAGGAGGTGGTGGAGGAGATCCACCAGGCGGCCTATAGTGATTACTTGGCGCGTGTCGCCCCCCCCCGGAGGGAGCCCACCGCGTGGGGGGCCCCCCAGACCTCCGGGGGAGGGACCGCGGACCCCGGGCGGAGCGGGGAGGGCCAGGCCCAGGAGCCCCCGCCCGAACGCCCCCGACCCTCGGGGGGAGCCCCTTCCGGGGCGAGGTCCAGCACGGACGGCCCCCCTCAAGAGGGAGGAGGCCCGGCACGGGCGCGCCTGACCGAGGAGCCAGCGGAAGGCTGGGGAGCGGCCCTAGGGGATGGCCGCCCAGGACGCCCCGCCCCCCCGCCCAAAGGCGGGAGCCCGAAGCCGAGGCCTCCGGAGAGACCCGCACCCGCCCGGGAGGGGGAGAGCAGGAGGGGGCTGGGCCCGAGGGCCCGCCACATCGACCTGCTGCCAGGCGCGCGGGTGATCTACCACAGCTCGACCTACGACACCTACGTAAACGGGGTCGTGCAGGGAGCGCGGAACGACAACCCCGACTACTACGACCTGGACGTCAAGCCCTACGCCCACATCGCGCGGATCTACCTCCCCCCGCCGCCGCCGCGCGGAGAGGGGCCCCCGGAAGCGGATGCGCGCACGACGGCGCCAGACTGCAGCGTGCGCTACAGGCCCCCCCCACCATCCCAGGCCCCCGGCGGGGGAGGAAAGGGGGAGGGAGGCCCGGCAACAGGTGCTCCGGGGAGAGGGGCACCCAGCGGGCCCGGGGGTGCCCCCCCACCGGCGGGACCCCCACCCCCAGAGGAGGGGGGCCACGGGGCGACAGCAGGGGGTGGCGCGCCAGCCCAGGGCGCGGGGGGCTCAGCTGCGCCGCACAAGGCCGCCCCAGCGCCCCCGGCAGCCGGGGCGCCCGCGCCGGGCAGCGGAGGAGGGAGCACGGCGCCCGCAGCGGGCGCCGGGGCCCAAGGCGCCCCCCCGCCCCCGGCGGAGCCCCCTCCACCTCGGACCGCGCGCGTGATCGCGACCATGCGGGGCCCACCTTCCTCGGTCTTGGCCCTGGTGGAACGCCGCTCGGATGGGCCCCACTCCCTGGCGCACGGGAGCGAGCGGTGCGGGGAGACCTCGGCCGCGGTTACCGCTCGGAGGGCCCTGGACGAGCAGCTCGGGGTCGCCCTCGCCCCGCCCACGAACTGCAACACCGCCCCCCACGCCTGGGAATGCCCACAGCACCCTGCGGAGGAGACCCCTGGGGCCGCTTACCCCTACGCCCGGCGGCCCCACTCCACCCAGGACAGAGCATGCTACTACCACTACCATTCGGTACAAGGGAACCTGCGGCAGTGGAGGGACACGCCGGGCAGGGAGTACGTCCTGGTGTCGGTAGACGACCTCCGGAGGCTGCGCTTCCCCGTCGCCAGCGACCAGCGAATGATCCGGATGGCCCTGGAGCAGGCGGAGGAAGTGGAGCGAGCCCGGGCGCGCGCCCAGCCGGAGCCCCCGCCGGAGGGGGCGGCGGGCGCCGCACCCGCATCCGGGACGGCGGGGGGAGCGGCAGGCGCCGACCCATTCGTCGCCCGGCCCAGCCTCCGGATCACGCTCCAGAGGATAGCGGGCCCCCAGCACGCCGAGGAGCGTCACCGGCTCCTCCGGGAGCGCCTCATCACCCTCTTGGGCGTCCTCGACACGCCCGGTGACCGGGACGCCCGGGGCTGCACGCACGAAGACCTCGTGGCCTCCCTGGAGGAGTCGTACTCCGAGGTTCACCTGGCGTTCCTCACGGAGTCGCGGCGCGCCCTCGCGTTCCCCTCCGGGGTCGGGCCCCCGGAGCTCACCCACAGGCCCGAGGCCGCGAAGAAGCTATTCGAGGAGAGAGATCATGAGGGGGCCCTCCGTGCGGCCCTGGGACCCGAGGTGGCCCCGGCGCAGCGACGGGCGGAGGGGGGCCCCGACCCCGCGCGGGAGGCGGAAGAGCCTCCCCCGGAGGAGCCACCCCCGGCACCCGCAGGCCTCGGGAGCGCGCCGGTTGTCCCCGGCCCCGCCAGGCCGGCGCAGGGAGAACAGGACGAGTCGGGGGAGTCGGGCGGGAGCGCAGGAGGAGCGGATGAGGAGGACCCCGACGAGGACCCTTACAACTGGGTGGCCAGCTGGATCCCGGAAGGGACGGCGGCGGACTGGGTGTGCACCCCCATGCTGCCGACGGGCGGCTACACTATCAGGGCGCCCATCCCCACAAGCTGGGTGGAGCTGTGGAAGCCCGAGGTCCTGCAGGAGATAGGCCACTTTCCCCCGGAGCTGGCGGCATGGCTGGACTCCACCATTCGGGTCGGGGGGGATGAGTGGATCCAGTTTGATGGGTGCCCGCGGAGCCTGGGCACCCACCGCGCCCTCCCGCTCCGCTTGGAGGAGGGAGGTACGGAGACGGTCTACTACCACCCGAAGCACATGCTGCTGTTCTTCGTGGAGGCGCGGGAGGTCTACAGGCTGATGCACCTGGTCCAGGGCCCAGCCCCCCAGCACCTCAGGGCGCACCGGGACGAGCAAAACCTCCGAGCGGGACGCCTCTCCCCCCCGCCGCTTCGGAAGACCGCGGAGCCCGTCGCCGGCGGGGAGGCGGACGGGGCCGCGGGGGGGCACCCCGCTGACGCGGAGAGCGGGGGCGGGAGACCCCTCCCAGATCAGGGCGCGGAGCCGCCTCAGGACGCACCCGCTGAGGAGGGGCGGGGAGGCGGGAGCGCGGAGCCGGGAGGGGGAGCGGACCAGAAGGGCGAGGCCGACCCTGTCGGGGCTGCCAGCCCGGCTCAGGGTGCGGCGGAGGACGGGTCCAGGCTGGAGGGACCAGCCGAATCACCCGAGCCCCCGGCTGGGCGCCCAGTCCAAGCACCCGCACTTCCAGCTGCCGGAGGAAGGGCCCCCGGAGCCCGAGCCGGCACCCCCGGCCGAGGAGCAGGGACCCCGGGAGGCGGAGCCGGCGGCGCCAGCCGAGGAGCAGGCCCCGCCGCAGGCTCCGGAGGAACCCGCCTCCGGCACGGTGGAGGAGCTCCAGCTCCAGATCGCCCTGGAGGCCTCTGAGAGGGAGAAGGCCGCGAGGGAAGCGGAAGAGTCACCCGACGGCCCGGCCGGTGACGCGGACGGGGAGCGCCTCGGGCGCAGCGTGCCGGGGGGAGGAAGCCCTCCGGCCCCGGGCGGAGGAAGGCGCTTCCAGCCGCGCCAGAGCCTCTGGTCGGAGAGGGGCCACGAGGAGGATGGCACCTTCGAGACCCGGGAGCTATTCTGGTCGGACGCGTGGCGGCAAGCCCCGAGGGGTGGCGGCTTCCGCCACGTCCTGCAGGTCCTGGTGGAGATCCTCGTCGACGAGCAGAGGGCGGGGCCTCCTCCTCCCCCGGTGGAGAGCGCCGGTTCCACCTGGAGGACTTCAGCCGCATGGCCCAGGCGGGACTGGGCCCGACCAACGAGCGGATCGCGGCGGAGTACCTGAAGGACACGTTCGGGGTAGGTGTTCAGACCAATACCAACCCGTCCACCGGGAGGGAGTACAGGATCCCCGAGGTCATGGAGAAGTTGCAGGAGACGAGGGAGGCAGCCATGCGGAGGAGCCTGGAAGTGACCCGGCCGGAGGCAGAAGCCCCGAGACCAGCCCAGGGCGGGACGCCCCGTTCCCCCCGCGAGGCTGGGGAGACCGCCGCACGGGACAAGGGGGGGGGCCCTACCAGCCGTGCACGGGAGGCGACCCCGGAACCCCCGGCGGAGGCGATACTGCAGCTGGAGGAGACGGACTGAGCCGGACCCGGCCTTGTGCGGGCGTCCGGGAGGCGGGTGGCACCACGGACCCTCCTCCCTCTGGAGGGGTGGCTCCGCGTTTTCGGGGCCCCCTGCACGCACGCCAGCCGCCGAGTCATGAACGTGTTAAGCGGCTGTACAGGATGCGGGCAGGGCGGCCCCCGCGCGGCCCCGGTCACTCTCCCCTCCCCGCCCCTCGCGGCGCACTGCGCGGACATGCCCCGGTGCGCCTGGAGTGGAGCTCCCCCTAGGTGGAGCTCGGCGGTGGAGCTGGCCCGCGGTCATTTGTTTAATCGACTCGTGGGGCCCCGCCCCCTGCCTGTGAGCAGCTTGCCCACCGGAGGGTCGGCGGCGGCGCTCCTGCTTCCCCGCACGCGTTTTCCCGCGCGCCCTGGCGCGCGGCGCCTGGTTGGACTTTTACCGGAGGGTGGGGCCCGGGACGGGCGTGGGCGGAATGCCTGCGGCTGTGCTCGCGGTCGTCGCCAAAACAGGGCCCTCCTTCCCTCTTGACAGTTAACGGAGTTTGGGGGAATATGGTCTCGTTTGGCTATGCCTAAACGGTTTTATTCCCCCCTAGGCCGTAGTGCTCTGGCTCCCTCCCCTTCTTTCCCTTTCCCCTCTTCCGCAGCCGTCTGTGCTTCGAGCTGTGCTTTTCCACCTCCCACCCCACAACTATTTTCAAGGAGCCGCACCCTGGAGCCCCCCCCCGTCAGTCGGAGGGCTCCGGGGCGGAATGCCTGCGGCTGTGCTCGCGGTCGTCGCCAAAACAGGGCCCTCCTTCCCTCTCGACAGTTAACGGAGTTTGGGGGGAATAAATCTCCTTGGTCGGCCTGGCCGAGGCACGAGTCCGCGCCACCGTCTTGCCCACCTCGTGGAAGAGCTACAGGATTTCAGAATTGACTGGCACGCTCTGATCTCTGCATACAAAATACCGACTTCCGGTGGCAGGCAGCCAGGCGCGTGGCAGATGACGAGACGTCCTCTTTTGCGCGCGGGAAGAGGCGGGTCAGGGTCCAGCGAGCGATCTCCTCCGTCTTCCACTCATCCCTCGACCCTGTCATTTTCGCCGCCGCCTACTCAAGGTTTTCCCAGCATACAGCTTCCAGCATATCTACCAGAGGTTGGACGACGCGTCCCCAACTGCCTCTCGAAGAAGGGCCTTGCCATCAGGTGGGCCATATTGAAAACACTACCCGGAGCATGGTGAGCCAGCCATCGTTTCCAGTTCGGCCCGCGCAAGTCACGCTTGCTCGGCTGCGAAGATTGGCCCGACCGTCCCGGCCACTACCTCACCTGTCTTTGTTTCCTCCACATATTGGCCCTTCCCGCTCGTTCCTTCCGCCCGACCCTCTCGTCCGTATCGGCCTTGGTAGGGACGTCGGGGAAGCACGCAGCTAGACTAGAACCCTTCACGGGGACTGCCCGAAGGCACGGTCGATCCTCATCTTCCTCTTCACTCCTCATATTTCATCATCGTCCTGTTGTTTTTTCTCATCCTCCTCCTCTTCTTCCTCCTCCTGCTCTTGTTTCTGCTCCTGCTCGTCCCCCTCATCCTCCCCCTCTTTTTTTTCCTCCTCCTCCTCCTCCTCCTCCTCCTCCTCCTCCTCCTCCTCCTCCTCCTCGTTTTCTTTCTCCTTCTCCTCCTCCTCCTCCTCCTCCTCCTCTTCCACCTCCTCCTCATCATCCTCATCCTCATCCGCTTCCTCCTCCTCCTCCACCATTCGTTTTCCTTATACATAAATTCACCCTGTCGCACCCCGAAGCTAGTTTTTAGGCCAGGCCGGGCGTTTCGCTTGAGGTGTCCTCCCCATTTCTGATGCTGAAGCTCAAAAATAGGCAACAGCTTCACAGATGGAGGGCGGGTCGTTTTCAAAATTTGGCTCTCACAAAAGCGCCGCGCACATTCGCAAGAGCTTCACGGACTGAGGGCGAGTGGTGTTCGACATGTGGCTTTCGCGTTAGCGCCGCGCACATTCGTTGTAAAAAAATGCGAGAGCCTCACGGATTGAGGGCGAGTTGTTTATGTGGTTCTCGCGTTAGCGCCGCGCACATTCGTTTTAGAAAATTGCAAGGGTTTCACGGATTGAGAGCGAGTGGTTCTCGAAATGCGATTATCGCGTTAGCGCCGCGCACATTCGTTTAAAAAATTGCATGGGCTTCACGGATTGAGGGGGAGTGGTTTTCAGAATGTGGCGCTCGCCTAAGCGCCGCGCACATTCGTTCCAAAAATTTGCAGGGGTTTCCCGGATTGAGGGCGGTTTCTTGTCAAATGTGGTTCTCGCTTTAGCGCCGCGCACACTCGTTCCAAAAATTTGCAAGAGTTTCGCGGATTGAGGGCAGTTCCTTTTCAAAATGTGGTTCTCGCCATAGCGCCGCGCACATTCGTTGATAAATTGTGCAAGGGTTTCACGAATTCCCACGATCAACGTACCAGAAATAGTATTGAGGTGTGATTCCGGATTATGCGGGTGCAACAGTTACGTTGATTCGCAGTGTTGAAGTCCTAGGAATGGCGTTCTGGCTTTCAAGACGCAACAGTCAGGTTGATCCGTGGGGTTGGGATCCCGAGAAAAATGTGTACGCATGCTTCATGGTCTTCAAAGGGTTGTTTTCCAACGAGGCAGTTCCCTCAATGGAAATGAACCGTCATAGGGGCATAGGAAGAGGGAGCTTGGAGGGAGCGTTCATTCCAACCTCGTTGATGGCTCTTGGGTTTACACTGGTCCTCGTCCTCCTCCTCCTCCTCCTGCTCCTGCTCATGTTCCTCCTCCTCCTCCTCCTTCTCCTCCTCCTCCTCCTGCTCCTCGTCATCCTCCTCAGCGGGTCCCGTTGCCGCGTGTGCTCTGTAGTCGGGAGTTGGCGCAACCCCCCAACCCCAGGCACAGCCCACCGCTCAGCCGCGGCCGCCCCCGAGGAGGAGGGGGTGCGCCAGCTGGGGCCTATACCCAGCATACAGGAATCGGAAAAAAGACAGCGAACACTCATTTCACATCCATCGGTAAATGACTTCCCCGTCCCCCACTTTTCAATGCCCCCTGGCGGCCGGCCCCTTTCCGTCTCTTCGCCCCCTTTTTCCTGCTCCTCCTCCTCCTCCTCCTTTTCCTCCTCCTCCTCATCCTCCTTTTCCTCCTCCTCCTCCTACTTCTCCTCCTCCTCTCTTCCTAAAGATGGGGACGTTCAATAGGGGTCTGAGTTGATGGGTCCGAGAATCGCGCCACATAGCCAATACATCGGCGATGCGGCCCGATGTTTTCCACGCTGACGGCACCGATGCATCACCGACGTCGCCGATGCATCGGTGATGCATCGACGATGCGGCGCGACGATGCGGCGCGATCCTCTGACACCATCTACTCTGACGCAAGGCGGGAGGGCCTCTAGAGACGGGGCCCTCAGTTCGAGGAACAAACGGTACAGACATAAACGTTTGGAGCTCCGCGTGGATCTCTTGGATCTTAAGTTTATGTTCGTGCCGCTTTGCTTCATCCACTCAGGACGAGCGGCCTCGAACAATGAAGTTTCAGGCTTGGGGCCCATATCATATTTCTAAGGCCCCAGCCCCAGGGCCCAATCTTTGGACAGCCGACCTGAGCTGCGGGCGGGTCTGTTCGCCGTTCTCGACGGGCACGGGAGCGCGGCAGTGGCGATTCTCGCATCTCAGAGAAGGTCGGGTTGAGACAACGGTAGTGACCTTCGGGAGAGGCCCTCGTCGCCACGGCTGGACGCAGTGAGTTTGGACACCGGGAAGGGTCCAGGGACCGACTTGGGGCTCCCGTCGTCTCCACTCCCCCTGCTCCGAACATCACGGATGCTCCACACGGTCCTCTTGGAAGAGCTGGCTGCGCAGCCGGGGGGCCTCGTCGCCTGGCCGCTCGCGGCGCCGGAGCGCCGCGAGGCGGCCGTGGCGCGCGCCTTCGCGCGGCTGGATGAGCAGCTGTCGTGGAGGCAAGCTGCACAGAACAGCGGCAGCACCTGCGTCGCCGCGGTCACGTGGCCCGATGCCGGGGAGGGCCAGGAGGAGCCAGGCTGCCAGGAAGCGGCGGGTGGGAGCCAGAGCACGAGCCGCCGCGTGCTGCTGGCCAACTTGGGCGACTCGCGCGGCCTTGTCTTGCGCGCGAGCGTCGACAGTGGCATGACCGAGCTGCTTGGGGAGACTACGGACCACAAGCCAGACGAGCCTGGAGAATGGAGGCGCATAGTAGAAGCCAACGGCATCGTGACCACGGGGTTCGGTCCGGCCCGCGTGGACGGCGACTTGGCATTGTCGCGGGCCTTCGGCGATTTCCGCCTGAAGAGCAGGCCCGCGCTCCCCCCGGAGCGACAGATGGTGTCCATGGTGCCCGACGTCTACGAGTTCCGCTGTTGTCCTGGTGACGTAATCGTGCTGGCCTGCGACGGTGTCTTCGACGTCGTGAGCAGCAGCGGCGTGAACGATCTGGTTGGCAAGCTGCTGTTACGGTCCGAGGACCCCGCCGCGGCAGCCAGAGGGGTGGTGCTAGAGGCCTTGGACCTCGGAAGCACGGACAATGTCAGCTGCCTGATCGTGCAGGTCTTAAGGGAAAATCACATGTGGTCGAGGCGGGGAGGAGACGGAGGCGCAGTTGAGGCAAAAAACAGGAGGAGGAGAAAATAGTTGAGCACGAGGCGAGAGGAGGACGACGAGGAAGAGGGGGAGAGGGAAGGTGGAGGAGGAGAAGGAGCAGGACGACGTGGACAATGTCAGCTGCCTGATCGTGCAGGTTTTCAGTGAAAATAATCCTCCCTCACTCTGGTGGGCTTGCGCCCTCGTGCGTTCACAGGGCTCTTCTTCCAGCGCACTTGGCCACGGGCCCTCCTGGGGCAGTGTGCCACCAGCTGCCCAGCCAAAAAGGCGCAACCCCCACCAGGGAGGGCGGGTGGGAAAACAGACAAGCACAGAACCCACGCGCGGCGGACCAACAGCCCTTGCTTTCCAGCAAGCAGGGCCCAGGCCCGCGACCGACGCTCTTGAGCGGCACCTTTCCATTGGCCTCAGCGGGCCCGACGCTCCTGAGCAACACCTCTCCGTTGGCCTCCACGGGCCAGCACTGGGCCAAGCCGCCCCTCCAGTGGAAGCGACAGACCAGACCGAAGACAGGACGACAAAGACAGACAGACAGGACGACGACACGGAGACAGACAGACAGACAGACAGACCAACCGACTGACAGGACAACGACAGACAGACAGACAGACAGACAGACAAGCCAAGACCGACGACAGACATCCGCAGCCCCTGGAAGGGGCACCACGCCCTGAGAGCAAGAGGCCCCCCCTCGGCGCAAACAGAAGTAAGCCCCCCAGAGGCCAGGAGTGGAAGAGCGGGCCACGAACCGCGTGTTCGTCAGATTTTCCTGCCCCCTAAACCTACAGTTTAGGGGCGAAGAAAATATTCCTCCCTCACTCTGGTGGGTTTGCGCCCCCGTGCGTTCACAGGGCTCTTCTTCCAGCGCACTTGGCCACGGGCCCTCCTGGGGCAATGTGCCACCAGCTGCCCCCTGAACCCCAGGAGCGCCCTGGGCAACCAAGATCTGCCCATGTGAACGAGAGGGAACGTGCCCCTGTGAGGAGATGGTGACAGCCCAATGCACACAGGTGCGTTTTCACTCTTCACCGGACGAATCCGAGAATTCGATTGAAAACTCTGCCTCCGCTACAGTGCCACGCGCCTTCGCTGACGCGTATGCGAATGCAGTCACGCCCTTCCATCCGCCTGAATAGAAGAGTGCAGCCGGGCCTTTGGCTTCGATGACTTCAGTGGCCCAGCCCCGCCGAAAAGCGTGCGTGCCCCAAGACCGCCCTTCGGCGAACCCCAAGGCTTGCGCGGCGATCTTCAAGCCCGCCAGAGACTCACTGTATGTGATCGATGGAAACAGTAGACTGCCATTCTCTATTTTCCCCTTCAAGATACATGCGCCGCAGAGCGTTATGCCTTGCAGGCCACATATGCACCTGCGAACAACCTCTACGCTCAGAGCAGCATTTCCTGTTAAGGAACACAATCCGCACAGCCTCTGTTCCCCCGCGCGTGCTGTCTACGAACACCTCTGCCTGCGGAGCCCCCAATTGCAGCACTTCGCCATAACGATGGTCGCATGATTCGCCCAGCTCTGCCTGCCCATTCCGGTTACACCAGCGCGCAAGCTTCCGCGTCTGGTCTGCCGTGGCCCGGATCTTCATTCGGCGAATCGCCTTGCCAGACTTCTCTGCGCCCCGCACTATGCGAACGGTGTCATCCAAGGCGCCCAGAGGACTCCGCAACCACCGCAGTACCGATCGCAAGTGAGACACATATTTGGACAGAGACGCCGCACTCCGGAACAGCACAGCAAAGGCGTCGACAGTGGCGTACGTCGGCGGTCATGCTTCCAAACACTGCACAGCGCAGCTCTGGCCATACAGCCGCACAGCCGAAGCATAATCTGCAGCACTCGCTTTCCATCCGCAGAACTCCATCCAGACAGCCTCTTTGTCGAACAGGTCGTGCCCCGCGAGGCCCGCTCGCCGAACCACTTCCTGCCGAGGAGACGCGGCAGGGGGCACGAACAACAGTGTGTCCACGGCAGCCAATGCCCGAATCGTTTCTGCCAGGATTTCTGAGTGGGGAACGCAAGTGCTTTTGCGAGCCGCAGAACACAAGACCAATGCCGCCATGGCCTTTTCCGTCTTCTCAACCACGTTGGCGTTCGCATTCTGCGCGCCCACGGGCGGCGGGGCCTGCATGTCGGTGGAAGCGACCTGGTCCGTGGAGCGGCACGCCTCGCGGGTAGAATCCGCGATGGCACACACGGCGGCAAACTCCTTGACGAGCACAGAAGGCAAAGGTTGCAGAGACTTCCAAATCCACTGCGCTTCCTCAGTGGAGATGCCCACAAAATCAGACGACGACGTGGCACCTTCTGTCAGAAGCTCTCTCTCTAGCGCCGCGGCGTCCACTGAGCAGCCAGATGCTGCCATCGCTCGCCGGAGCAGCGGGAACAGCCATGGCTCTGAACGCGCGCGAACGTTCCGGGCTTCAGGCATCGGCAGGCCTGATGCGCTCGCAACCCGGCCAGCTCTCATGTGACCTAGCGCCGTCTTGGGCCAGGTGCTTACGGACACATGCTGGCACATGGCCCAAATCAGCTGTCATGGCAATCACGATCTCCTCGGGCGCGACATCCGCCCCAGACCAGGACCCAAAACGCATTCGTTTCTCCTTGTCGACTCCACCAACCAGGGCGGCCTGACTCAAGGAACGCAAGCCCTCCCCCGGAAAGCTCTCGGCGGGGCGCAGCCACACGCACCAGGCAAATCAAAACAATGGCCCCTTCCTTCTGGCGGGCAGATGTTTCCCTTTTTTTTTTACAGCGCCGCTCGCAGTTCACACTCCGGTTCGCCAAGGAAGTTGCTCTGGCCAACGCCATTTGACCTCCTGGAAGCCCTGCCCGGCAAGTTCCGCACGAGCAGTTTCAAACGTAGATTGCCTCGTTGGGCCGTCCGCGAGGTTCAGTTTCGGACGGCACGCGGACGGCGTGCAGAAGAATGGCAGCCGTTACAACTTGAAACCAAAAATCTGCCACTACCGCGTTGTAGTCGTCCTGCCGGCTTGCTCCGCGGACGAGCGCGCGCAATGCCACACTGCTGTCTATGAACAGAACTGCTTCGCAATCCTGGAGCCCCCTGGCTACGAGCATCTTCACACTGCAGACAGCAGCAATGAGCTCCCACAAGGAAATCTGCGTGCGGCGCAGCCTCGCCCAGGCCCTTGCGGCATCTGGCACGGGCGCGGCCGTCCACAAACGAGCAGACGGATGCCATAGAACGAACGCCATCCAACCATCTCCAGCCGCGTCTGTGTAAATGAAGCATCGCTTCAGCTCTCGTGGAGATAGCGGAATCTCGCGAGTCGGGCACGCCAAAAGAAACCGGCGCCACCAGAGCAGTGAATTCCGCACGCGCTTGGGCATGGCACCAGTACGCCGATTCGATTGCCAGTGCAACGCTGCCAGACAAGCACGTGCACCGCGACCAAAAACTACGGATCCTCCCCAACTCAACCGGCCAGCCAATCGCTTGGCTTCGGCCGGCCGCAGAAAATCTGCCTCTAAAGCTTCATCTATGCATTCAAGCCACTTCTGAAGCTTTTCTTCGCCTATCCAGAAGACAATTGCGCCTGGCCGCGCCGCAGCTTGCACTCCTAGCACTACTGTTTCTGCGGCGTCGTCCACAGATTTATTTGGGTCTAGTTCCCAGTCCAGGAGAGCGATCGCTTCTCTAGCACAACGCGCCATGCCAGCGGGCCCCGCGAATTCGTGGTCAGTTTCTCCGGCCTCATCAGCCGAGATGAAATCGTCGACGAAGCACGGATATGCAATGAGGAACTCGAAGCTACCAAACCTGTGCCATGAGTGCACGGAGCTGAGGGCCCCGAAGGGGCAGGAAAGAAGTTGCGAACCTTTACCTGCTGCGAACGCTGTTGCCCACGAGACGACTGCAAACGGCAAGTGGTTAGCCTGGATGGGCAAAGATTTGAACGCCCCCTTAAAATCGATTTTTCTGAAGCGGACCTCCGCTTCAGTATCGCTGTCCCCGATTGAATAGCTTGCAACGCTCACCAGCGAATCCAAGGTGTCCACTGGGAGCGGCTCGCCTACGGTGGTTGCGGCATTGATCAGCGAATATGTAAAATCGTCCACAAGGCGCACCTTCGGACAGATGTGCCCGGACGGGCCCTCGCGAACCCCTTCCTGGACGGGGAAACGCGCAGTCAAAATTTCGCTCTCCGGTGCTAAGATCTTCCACCAAGCCTTCCGGGAGGCGACTTCCTCGACGCACTTCTGTTCAAAAGCCTGCGCCACGCCGCAATCTGTAATTGCGGACCTCTGGATGCGCTCTGCCGTGCGCTCGTTCAGAGCCGCGGCTTGGCCTAGCAAGGAAGATTCGCACTCTGAGAAAGAAGAGTACTCCTGCGGCGGCAAAATGCCGCTCCTCGGCAGACGGCCTAACAAAGGAAACCCGGTTTTCAGGTCCTGTGCCAGCGCCTGGTCTGGCCACCCCATGGCCTCCAAAATTTCGGCAAGCAAGCATATGTTTTTATCTGGCCCAAGCACGCGCTGCACGTGAAACGGCAAAAGCAACCGTTCGTGCTGCCACGCTTGGTCCGTCACTCGTTTGCGTTGGCGCCAAAATTTGAGACGTTCGCTCCGAAGACTACTCAAATCTGCCGGGCTCATGCTTCGGGCACGCTCCAGAGCCTCGAAAAGAAGCGGCTTCAACGGAGCGAACCCCGCAACGCTCGGCAGCGAGTGCGCCCATTCTAAATGGCCCCATGGAGTCATGGAATCCACGCGGGACGAATTCCTTGGGAATTCCTCGGCAGCAAACTTAAAAGCAGCAAAGGAGCCAGAAGGCGGCCCCGCTGCAGACACCGTGGAGTGATGACTTCTACAGGTACCGGAGTCCGAATCACTGCCCGGCTTCTCTGGCCCATCGCCAGATCACTTGCGCTGCTTCCAATTGGACTGTTTGCTCCAATCGTCGTTGCGGCTCTGGCTGGACTTGTTCCAATTCCACTCGTCGTCGTGGCCCTTGCCGCCGCCC